CTTTTGGTTTTCTAACTCCAGGTCTTTGCACATTTCATTAAAGTAATTGACTTTGTCTTCTCGAGCTGCTCCTTGAAATCGTCTGTTCAGCTTTTATCTTGTCATTTCTTCCATTTGCTTTAGATACTCTCCATTCAAGAACAAGTTTCAGAGTCTCTTCTTATGTCCATTTTTGTCTTTTGTTCCTTTCCTGTCTTTTTAATGACCTTTTGCTTTCTTCATGGATGATGTTCTTGATGTCATCCCACAGTTGATCTGGTTTTTGGTTATTGGTGTTTAATGCATCAAATCTATTTCTTAGATGGTCTCTAAATTCAGGAGGGATATAATCAAGGTTATATTTTGGCTCTCGTGGACTTGTTTTAATTGTCTTCAGCTTCAGCTTGAAGTTGCATATGAACAACTGGGGATCTGTTCTACAGTCAGCTCCTAGCCTTGTTTTGGCTGAAGAAATTGAGGTTTTCTATTACCTCTTTTCACAGATGTAGTCGACCTGATTCCTGTGTATTGTATTTGGCGAGGTCCACATGTATCGCCGCCATTTATGTTGTTGAAAAAGGTATTTGCAATGAGCAAGTCATTGGCCTTGCAAAATTCTATCATGTGATCTTTGGTGTCATTTCTGTCACCAAGGCCATGTTTTCCATTTATGAGTGATTCTTCATTCCCAGATTTCTCATTCCAATTGCTAGTAATAATCAGTACAGCTTGATTTCATGTTTTATTAATTTTAGACTGCAGAAGTTGGTAAAAATCTCTAATTTCCTTATTTTTGGCTTTAGTGGTTGGTGCGTAAATTTGAATAATGTTGTTGTTGTTGTTATTTGCCGTCGAGTCAGCCCCGACTCATAGTGACCCCTCCTTGGGTTTCCGAGGCAGTATCACTACAGAAGTAGGATTGCCCAACCTTCCTTCCGAGGAGTGGCTGGTGGGTTTGAACCACCATAGTAGTGTTAATTGGTCTTCCTTGTAGGCGTATGAATATTATTCTATCACTGACAGCATTGTACTTCAGGATAGATCTTGAAACATTTTCTGTGATGATGAATACCGTGCTATTCCTCTTCAATTTGTCATTCCTGGCATAGTAGATCATATGGTTTATCATTGTCTGATTCAGAATGGCCAAAAGCAGTCCATTTTCAGCTCACCGATACATAGGATATCGATCTTTATTCAGTCCATTTCATTTTTGACAACTTCAAATTTTCCTAGATTCATACTTCCTACATTCCATGTTCTGACTATTAATGGATGTTTGCAGCTATTTTTTCCCCCAATTTGAGTCATGCCACATCAGCTAATAGAGGTCCTCAAAGCTTTATCCCATCCATGTCGTTAAGGTTGAGTCTACTTTGAGGAGGCAGCTCTTCTCCCATTGTATTTTGAGTGCCTTCCAACCTGAAGGGCTCATCTTCTGGCACTATATCATAGTGTTTCAGGGCTATCCATAAAGTTTTCTAGTAATATATTTGACAGTGTTTCACTGCTATTCATAGGGTTTCCACTGGCCAGTTCTTTGAGAAATGGATGGCCTCTTCCTTCTTCTGAGTCTGTCTTAGTCTGGAAGCTCTGCTGAAACCTGTCCACCATGGGTGACCCTGCAGGTATTTGAAATACTGGTGGCATAGCCTGCAATCTCACAGCAACATGCAAGTTACCACAGTGTGACAAACTGACAGATGAGTGGCGGGTTCTTAACCATTTATGAAAAAGTCTTGAGCTTCACCCTGAAGAAAGCGAAAACAAAGTGAACTTCACTTAGACTTTTGCTATTTGGTTTATTTTCTTACAGCAGAAGGTGATTTACTACCTCTGCATATTATTGAAGGATCCAGTGGAACCACATAGGATATCTCAAGTAGTACCTGTCTTCCAGGTGAGCACAGAACACTTTTCTTAAAATTGCTTTCTCCAGAGAAATCTTCTACTTCCTTTCCTACCTGCCCCCTGCATATGCACTGCTATTTATGTTCTGTGGAAATATAAACTTTTGTTGTCAAAGTTTCTAAAGCTATTGCACAGCTATTTTCAATGAGAATTAGGATTTTAGTAATTTCAAAGTTCCTCTCTGAGGCAAATATTGGTTTTAGAAAATAATACACATTCATGCAAATTTTAGAGAAAACAATAAATATGTAGCTTCTGCCTATAAATCACCATTCATCTACTTTTTGTGTCAGTCTGTGATTATAGTTTTCCCTTGATGTCATTCATCTATACATACTAATATATACTGTTTTATGTTCTGCTTTTTAAATCATTATTTAATATGTACATTATCATGTATCTACAAAGTCCATTGTACTTATTTAAAATAATTATATAGCATTCCTCCATGTTGAAATTTAATAGTTTACTTTAGCCACTCTGTTGCTAGCTTTTTTAATTGTCATTATTTTTTGTGCTTCTTTTATTAAAAAACTACTTGTGCAAACATGATTATAATAATTACATTATAGGTATATGTTTATGTATGCATTTAAGCCTGCCTCACTGCTCTTCCTTTTTCACAGATGATTTAAAGCAGCTAAGCTTAAAAAAAAAAACAACTACATTATAATTTCAAATTATAACTACTTTATTAAAGTTCATGAATAATTTTATAGATTTTTTTTTTTAACTGTTTGTGATTGGGCTCCAGAGATTGGACTGCTTTTCCATGCTATTGGGAATTTGTACCTACTTTTCTACAATCTTGGCTAACAGTGAACTCAGCTATTTTTCAGTTGAATATATAGGTAAAATTAAGAAGTTTGTATCTCTTTAAAAGATAGACTCTTCATGTTTCCTTTTAGGTATTTCCTATCAATATTTTGTTTTAAACTAGCTATCTTCTCTATTAATTAATCTACAATTAGAACTAGAATCTAGATACTATATAACAATTCCTGGAGGAGCACCAGCTGCTCCAGGGGAGAAAGATGAGGCAATCTGCTTCCAGAAAGATTTAGAGTTTAAGAAACCCTATGGAGCAGTTCTACTCTGTCCTAACAGGTCACTGTGAGTTGGAATTGACTCTATGGTAGTGAGATTGGATTGGAACAATTTTTTAATATATTTTGTGTAGCAATCTTCTGTTAAAAAGTCTTTCCATTTATGTTTTTCCCATTCTGTGACTGTTTTAGTTTTAGTTGCATTAAATTTCATTTTACAAAATGTTTTTCAATATTTACATGTGAAACTACCCTTCTGGTTTTGTGGACTCCATCTCTGCTTGTGATGCTCCCTGAGAGGGTCTGTGCTTATTATTCTTGCTTACTCTTAGATATAGGTCATGAAATTTAGACAGATTAAAAAACTCTCTTTTGAGCTCCTGCTTCACAGAATTTACGGACTAGGTGGTAGGCATAGTTTTGGATTCCTCCCAGAAAGGTGGTGTGAGGCCTGAACTTCGCGCTCTCTGTGCTCATCTCTCTGCCATTTACGTCCCTTGATGTGGATGAGACATTGCGTTTTCACATGGATGTAGCACCACTGAACACTCTCTTATGTTCATCTTGACTCTGCATTTCTCCCCTTTGGAATTCAGAGTGCCAAGCCCCGGCTGGACTGCTTGATTGAAGTGTACAAGAGCTGCCAGGAGATCCTGGCACACCAGAAAGCCACATCAGCAAGCCCATGAGTCCCAGCATTCAAAAGGCCAGCATTGTCTTCCATGGAGATGACTCTTAAGCCATAGTAGCTGGTTCATTTTCTGTATTCTAAACCAGCATGTGGACACAGTCCTAGGAACCAGTGTGGACACTGTGGATTTCAGAGCCATAGAGCAGATGACTGGAAACCTAACTCATTGTGTGATGTTGAGCAACGAGTTTCTGTGTATTTTAGTGTTCCCCTTGTAAGGTTTTGTCTACTTTATCAACTGAGGGGAGACTTTAAGAAACGATATATTGCAAATAATATCAGCAAAGAGCACTTTTGTAAGATTCCTAAGCACATTCAGTTTACTTTTTGTTGAAACTTGTGGACAGGACAGTGGGAAACTGCTATCACATCTCTTGAGAGGAAAGGCATCATTTCCATGTGCATACCACCCCTGTATAAAAGTTAATAATGAAAAAAAAAAAACCATGCCTGGAGGGCTAGCAGGAAGAAATCCCTACAAAAGACCATTCTCTGTCCACCTAGCTCCTGTGTTCTGTACAGGGTTAATTTATAACTCTTTTAATAAACACATCTCCTTCCAAAACATACACAAAAATTGCCTGGCTCAGACAGCTGCTTTTTATTGACAAACACGATCATGGCATTTCAGTCATGGGTGTCAAGCACATGAATACTTTTCTGTTATTCAGCATTATCTATAGTTTCAAAAGCTTGGTTTGCCAAGTGGGATGAAACAGACAAAAGTTCAGGCACAGATTTGACAGTGGTTTCTGGACATGGGACTTCTGTGTCAAAAAAGGATAAATGAGGACTACAGAAGCCTTTGTTGACAAGAAGCCACCTTCTGTATAATGTTAGTAAACTAAGAGGATTCCTGAAGGGTTGGGAAGGAGAGAGGGTAGGGAGAATAATGTGGCCTCAAGTTCAGAACACAACTCTACTCTTGTTTACTCTTTCTTTGGAATCCTAATTTTTTTTTAAACTTCCCTCTCTGGGACATAATATCCTCTTTGGTCCTAGAAACATTCAAGATATTTTAAAATCAGAGTTGTAATCTCTTTTACACCAGCCCAGGAGGGTTATCCAGGAATTGTGGTATAGGTAAGATGTGACTTGTTCGAGGTAGAACCATCTCAGCTAGATCCCCAAATATGGGTGGAAAAGGTGAGAACAGAAGTAGGAGATGGCCTTCCAAAGTCAAATTAATTTATAAGAGGCAGACTGATGTGTTTCTTCATCATGCTTGTCAGTTTAAAGAGTGAAGGAAGGGGAAGCTTACAGCAGCTGAGGTGTTTAGATAAACTAGTTCCAGTCATGCAGGGTGCAACAAGCACACATTGTCAGGGTTAAAGGCTTGGTTCTTGGATGCTATTGCTAAACCCATCCCCTTTTTCAGCACTTTACTGACAGATATCAAGACCACTTGAGAGCTATGAAATAAAATTCATTTTCTCAGGTGTTAGAAAATCAGAGTGTAACTCTTTCGTTTTGTTTTTTTGTTTGTTATGGGAAGGTAGAGACAATCCCATCATGACAACAAAAGGTGAAAGAAAATTGCAACTTCTTTCACCTAATGGTATTAGTATAGAACAGATACTACATTTGTGCCCCCTGTCCTCAAGCTAATCTCAGCAGAAATTTGTCAGAAGTCTTGAGGAACACTCAGGGCCATGAGCCTGGAGGGGTTCTCTCTCTGCTCCTCACTCATCTTTGTAGCCTCTCAGCACAGCAAAAAGCAGCGTACATTTGCTTGGACTTTCAAAGAGTGGGGAAACAAATGATTACCACCTCCTCTACAGTAGTGAGCACAGCCTTCACTGAGCTCGGTCCAGTCACTAAAATGAGTGGACAGAGAAGGGAGAAGTCAGATTGGACCACCCCCTGCCCTTGCTTGGACAGCGTGTAGTACTGAGCCTTGCTTATATTCCAGTGTGTAAGGTAACAGTTTTAGTCTTAGCAGGGATAGCATGTTCTGCAAAGACAGGAGCCTCTGCTCCAGAAGGGGTACTGCAAGCATCTGCTTGCCAGGGAAGGGGGAGGGTGAGTCTATTCCTTTTTATTCATCCCTGCCAATACCTTAAGCCAGCACCTTTCTCACTAAGGAAGGAAGTCCAGTTTTAATAAGTTCTGTTAGAGGTTCAGTTATCCTATCCTGTTCAAGGATGTTGGGAAAATTTCAAGTATAAAACTCCAAGTAAGGACCATAAATATACATTGTAAAAAGTATTAGTTTCCCTGAGAGTACCTTGGCATACAGCACTGATGCCCTCAGGTACAGGGGACCATTCTGTGTCTATATCTACAATAAGGTAGCAGCCAGAGTTCAGTATTCTTGTGGAAAAAAGTGAGTGGTGTTCATCACTGGGTCTGGATTCTTAAAAGTTGGGCCCTGAAACATAAGGCACCTGGAGAATAAAGGCCTTGCAGACAATGAAATACTTAAACATTTCACAGAATAAAGCAAGGAAGGGTGGGGGACAGTTAGACCCTTCACAGTAGTATCAGATGCCCCAGGATATACAGCTATTCCTATAGGGACCAGGTGGGGGGTGGGGGTAGGAGAAATTTCACAGTAATGTTGGCCCCCTGGTAGCACGTGGAAGAGAAGCAAAGAACTGTCGTCCATCCAGTTCCCAAAGTTGGCGGGAAGCAGGTGAGTTGGTCGGTGGTTTCACAGTTGCTGAGCAATGGTTCATGTAGCTGGCCATGATGAGGGTAGCCTCTGCAATCTAAGGAGCAGAGAGACAGAAAGGAATTAAACTAGCTCTGGCTTAAAAACTGGCTTTCTCACTTACTAGTGATTACGTTAGGTGCCTAACTTTCTGGGCTTCATTATCTGTTAAATACCCAATTGGGAGAAAATGTCTAAAGGGGATCATTACTGTTAGCTTCCTCTAGAGGCCCAGTGAAATGGGCATCTTGTGGTCTAGAAGTGCCCCAAGATGCATAGTACTCCCAAGAAAAGGAAGATGGAGCCATTCTGCTTAGACTGCCTACAAAGCTGGGGAGGGGAGCCTTCTTGGAAGAAAGTGTTTATATCCTCTTGTTTGGCAGGAGTGATATTAAAAGGAGGAGAAGGTTCGGCAAACTCCTACCTTAGGATTAAAAGTAGAGGCAAAAGGTTTCCAATTACTCTGAAAAGAGAGTCAAGAACTACAAACCACAACTTTTTAGGTTTTTGAGCCTCTGTAATTGTTATTTTTGCTAGTTAGCATTCCTGTACCAAACCATAAGGAAGTGGGAGCACAATGGAGGCTGTCCCACGTTGTGGCTAGTGTTGGGGACAGGAGAACTCAACGCAAGTGAGAATACCCCTAAAAGAGAAACTGGTCTGGGTCTCCGACCTGGTGAAAGGAAGGAAAGAGAAAATGGGTCTGCATAGTGCTGGGGCTTGAACGAACTGAAAATGGTAAAGTGAAAAGCACAGTAGTAGTTGGACCAGAGTTACTTCCTCTCCTATTAGTCCTTTCCACCTATTAACTCAATGTTGTTATGTCCTATCGAGTCGAACCCGACTCATAGTGACCCCTCCTTGGGTTTCCAAGGCAGTATCACTACGGAAGTAGATTGCCCACCCTTTCTTCTGAGGAGTGGCTGGTGGGTTCGAACCTCTAGCCTTCTGATTAGCATTCAAAGGCCTTAGGCACTATGCTACCATAGGTCCTACTAACTCAATAGTGACTACTAAGATGTAACTCCACCTGAACCCTTTGGAGTATTGATTATAGACAAGGCCAAATATTTTGTAAGGGGGAAAGGCATTTCTAGAATACTATGATGACCCCAGTTTCCTCTAAGCTATAAGCCCCCCACATCATAACAAAAGAGTAAAATGTTTTAAGCAAACTGTCAGACACACCTTAGGAGTAGACATGTGGAAGAGCAACTTCTCAATATGGCCTTTTCCAGAGCTCTGGTCTGGAATGGATCTAATCACAAGCATGAAGTCATCCCGGCAGCCACCAAAGGTAGTCACTGAAGAGTAGGGGTAAGTGATGTGCACTTGCTGTAAAAAGGAGCAAGTTAGTTCTAGGGGAATTTCCCACCTGGCTCCTGACCTAGGAACCATCATCTCTCATCTCTTCTAGGCACAGGTAGCCTTCCCCAGGAAGGAAGAACTCTGAAATGGGCACAGTTTGGAGATCTACATCTTGAATATCTAGAAGCTGTGTGTAGATTTTATAGGACAGCTATGCTTAGGCAGGGTGTGGGGAAGCCATGGTCACTTAGCTCAATTGAAAGAGAAGAAAAGATAGTGCTCAGGAGAGGTGGGGTCAGGGAGCTAACCCTCATCCCTCCATACCATAGTGTTGTGATCCAGGATGCTGACACCATCTTCATTCACAGCAATCCACACCAGAGTGTTCTCTTTAGAAGACAGCTGGACAGGCTGGCAAACAGAAAAATCCCATCAGATATATCCAAAGCATATGGATTCTGAACTTTGAGCTTTCTGAGGAAGAAGGCATCTGCAGGAATCTGCTAAGCAGTCATTTCCATTCTTTTTCTCATCTTGGAGAACTATAAAATGGTGTTTATTTACTGGAGTAAATACTGGGCAAATCTGCTGCAAAAGACTTCTTTAAAGGTTTTAAGAGCAAAAATGTCACTTGGAAGACTAAAGTATACCTGACCCAAACCATGGCATTTTCAGTAGCCTCATAAGCCTGTGAAAGCTGGACAATGAATAAGGAAGACTGAAGAAGAAACGATGCATTTGAATTGTGGTGTTGCTGAAGAATATGGAACATACCATGGACTTCCAGAAGAACTAACAGATCTGTCCTGGAAGAAGTACAGCAGGAATGCTCCTTAGAAGTGAGAATGGCCAGACTTCATCTCACGTACTTTGGTCATGTTGTCAGAAAGGGCCATTCCCTGGAGAAGGACATCATGCTTGGTAGAGGGTCAGTGAAAAAGGGGAAGACCCTCAATGAGATGGACTGACACAGTGGCTACAACCATGGGCTCAAGCATAGCAAGGACCGTGAGGATGGTGCAGGATCAGGCAGTGTTTTGTTCTCTCATACACAGGATCGCTATGAGTCAGAGCTGGCTTGACAGCACCTACCAATAACATTTACTGGAATAAACAAACAAGACTGCTTATGACAGCCCCATATGGCCTTTGGGCTCTGACCACTTACCTAACCATCCAGTGGTGGAGGGGACTGAACTCTTGGCATACCTATAACTCATCATGCCATAGAACAGTGGTCAGGATGCTCTGTGCTGCAGATAGAGGCCAGCCTTGCTGCCTTAAGGGCACAGGAAATAGGGTGTTTCCTCCTAGTTAAGACTGATTCACCTAGAGTCTCTCCCAGCTGAAGTGCATCTAGTTTCAACAATTTCCTAGGGGACTATAAAAGAAATATGAAAGCAAGAATGCAATTTTATAGGCTTTTAGGCCCTACCAGTGAGAAAAATGACTAGTGGGCTTTTTTCCTGGAAGAACTAATTTTCACTGCCAGGGCTGTGGTAGAGTAATCCAGATTTCCTGTCTTTCCTTCCTAAAAGTCTAGGAAGAGGGATGGACATGTCACCTTTATTGGAAGCTTCCCAATCTCCCAGACTAAATGCTCAACCCCCCCCCCCCATTTTTTAATAACACCTGTATACTTTTCCTTCATAGCACTTGAAACAGTTTATAACAAAAAAATTTAAAAGATACTTACATACTCAAACCCATTGCCATTGAATGTATTGTGGCAGCGACCCTACAGGACAAGGTAGAACTGCACCATAGGGTTTCTAAGGTTGTAAATCTTCATGGAAGCAGACTGCTTCACCTTTTCTTCACAGAGTGGCTGGTGGGTTCAAACCGCTGACCTTTTGGTTAGCACCTGAATGCTTTAACTATGCCACCAGAGCTCTTTTACATACATACATACATATATATGTGTGTGTGTATATATATATATAGAGAGAATGATTTGATTCTCTTCCCCATTAGATAGGAAGCTCCATGAAGGCAAGAACTGTGTCTCATTTGCTCCCCTTGTAACCTCTAACAACTAACACTACGCCTGAGACATAGTAGAAAGACAAGAACTATTTGGTAAATGATCTACTGAGTATATGAATGTCTAATGTCTAATAGGTAGCTTTAAGAGGATCAGTAGCTTTGCAGGCAGGATAATCTGATTATGTATTAAGTTCATGCACATTAGACACCCATTGAGAAAAGTTCCAACTGATACTACTATTGATCACCTGGCTTTTATGCAAGTTCAATGAACTGTTGCCTAAGTAGCTGGATTCCCTTATGTGCCATGTGAAGCTATTAGAGATTTATTTGTTTAGGTTTAGCATTGGTCTATCATTCAAACTTTTTTTAAAAAATGAAAGGAATGAAATGACATATTAAGTCTGAACTCTCATGTGTGAATTAGTTGATCCTATCTTTTCTTTCATGGGTAATATTGACAAAGAAGTCCACATAGGAAAGATGAGGCTCACGCAGAACTAAATCTGGCCCAGAAGCAATGATTCTCAACTCTTGCTCTGGACTTTGGAAATCTGGGTGGCGGTGGTGGTGATTAGGTGCCGTCGAGTTGGCTCCAACTCACAGCACCCTTATGTACAACAGAAAAAAACACTGTCTGGTCCTGTGCCAGCCTCACAATTCTTGCTACACCTGAGCCTATCATTGCAGCCACTGTGCCAATCCATCTTGCTGAGGGCCTTCCCCTATTTCATTGACCTTCCACTTTACCAACCATGATATTCTTTTCCAGGGAATGGTCCCTTCTAACAACATGACCAAAGTAGGTAAGACAAAGTCTGGCCATTCTCTCTTCCAAGAAGCTTTCTGGCTGCACTTCTTCCAGGACAGATTTGTTAGTTCTTCTGGCAGTCCATGGTACTTTCAGTATTCTTTCCCAACATCACAACTCAAAAGCATCAACTCTTCTTCGGTCTTCCTTATTCATTATCCAGCTTTCACATGATATGAGGTGACTGAAAATACCATAGCTCGGGTTAGGTGCACCTTAGTCTTCAAAGAGGTATCTTTGCTCTTTAGCACTTTAAAGAGGTCTTTTGCAGCAGATTTGCCCAGTACAATACATCATATGATGTCTTGACTGCTGCTTCCATTGGTGTTGATTGTGGAACCAAGTAATAAGAAATCTTTGACAACTTCAATCTTTTCATCATTTATTGTGATGCTGCTTATTGGCCCAGTTGTGAGGACTTTAGTTTTCTTTATGTTGAGATGTCATCCATACTGCAGACTGTAGTCTTTAATCTTCTTCATCAGTAAGGGTTTCATGTCATCTTCACTTTCAGCAAGGAAAGTTGTGTTGTCTACATATTGTAGGTAGTTAATGAGTCTTTCTCTAATCCTGATGCCACGGTCGTCTTTATATAGTACAGCTTCTCATATTATTTGTTTAGCATACAGATTGAATAAGTTTGGTGAAAGGATACAACCTTGGCACACTCTCTTCCTGATTTTAAGCCATGCAATAACCCTTGTTCTGTTAGAACAACAGCCTCCTGTTCTATGTACATGTTCCTCATGAGCACAATTAAGTGTTCTGGAATTCCCGTTCTTGTCAATGTTTTCCATAATTTATTATGATCCACACAATTGGATGCTTTTGCACAGTCAATAAAACACAAAATAAACATCTTTCTGGTATTGTTTGCTTTCAGCCAAGATCCATCTGACATCAGCAATGATATCCCTTGTTCTACATCCTCTTCTGAATCCAGCTTGCATTTCTGGAAGTTCTCTGTCAGTATACCTCTACAACCATTTTTGAATTATCTTCAGCAAGATTTTACTTGTATGAGATATTAATGATATTGTTCTATAATTTCTACGTTCTGTGGGATCACCTCTCTTTGGAATGGTTACAAATATGGCTCTTTTCCAGTCAGTTGGCCAGGGAGCTGTCTTCCAAATTTCTTGGCATAGACAAGTGAGTCCCTTCAGCATGGCATCTGTTTGTTGAAACATCTCAGTGGGTATTTCATCAATTCCTGGAGCCTTGTTCTTCACCAATTCCTTCAGTGCAGCTTTGACTTCTTCCTTTATTACCATTGGTTCTTGATCATATGCCACCTCCTGAAGTGGATGAATATTGACCAGTTCTTTCTGATACAGTGACTCTGTGTATTCCTTCCACCTTCTTTTGATGTTTCCTGCATCATTCAATATTTTGCCCATAGAATCTTTCGATATTGCGGCTTGAGGCTTGAATTTTTTTTCAGTTCTTTCTGGAGTATGCCAGAAATGAGTGGCGAGATAGTGACCCCTGGTGGTTGTTAGTGTGAAGGCAGGGGCTGCAGAGTGCACTGGCTCAAACATGGCCAGATGGACACAGACGTTCAAGGAGAAACTTAGGACATTCTGAGGGTGTGCACTACTTGTAACTGCTGGTACTTACCCGAGCAGTAAAGAGCTTAGCACCAAAGAAGGGCCATTTCCGGGCCACGGTCAGGTAGATGCGGATGCACTCGGGAGGGGAGCAGCCTTGCAGTGCTGCCCACTTTGTGGTCAGCATATCTGCCAGGTGCCTAGTTTGGACAAATGGAGAGAAATGGTACCAGTGAACTCCCAACATGTTTTCACTGCAGCTCATGCCTCCCCACAGCGACATTCTCCAAGACCTCGCAGCTTACCTCAGCTGTTCAGGGGGAGCCCCATGTCTGTAGCGCCTTGGGTAGAACCTGTCTAGGACCTGCTGGAGGAGATGCTGAGTCTTGGCAGGCAGTGTGCCCCCAGGGCCTGGTAAGATAGGCTTCTCTAAGTCTCCATATTCTACCTGTGATAGAAACACATGGGGAGACCGTCAAGAATCTAGAGCTGGGTGAGGTGGGAGTCTGCTAGAGAGGTGAAATAAACCCATTACTTGATTGGTGAAGTATGGATGGATGTGGAACAACACTTACGTTCAGAACCTTTATCTCAAGTTTCATGGACACTGGAGAAACAACCTTAGCTCCTAAAATATTAGAGATTGTCCAGACCAATTCTCATTTGTAGCTCAGGCTAAGTGCCCATTATCCAAAAACACAGTTAATTAGTGGCAGATAAGGGAAAAGAATGTGGAAATTCTGGCTTCTGATCCAAAAAGCTTATAAATATGGGACACAGGATTGAAAATGTAGAGCAGTATTCCAAGTGTGGCCTCTGGAGTTGGACAGCTGGTTGAAATCCCAGCACTGTCTTTTACTACCTTTGTGACCCTGATCAGGATACTTAAACACTCAGAGATAATACATGTAAAACGCTTAGCACAAGGCTCACTATAGAGTATAATAAATGTTTATTATTATAAAAATCAACAATTATTATTTGCCTTCCTTTCCTAGCGTGTCGGTTCAGACTTTCTTATGAGAACCTGAAGGTGTCCCAGATATTTTTGGCAAGATAGGCTTCTAAAGATAACAGGGAAAAAAGTCAAAGTCTGGTTGTGAGTTCCTATTCTACTTACAGCATGTGATAGTTTACAAATATTATCACGTACATAATCTCATTTGAGACTCAGAACAACCCTGCAGGGGCAGGCAGGGAGGTAATTTTGTTTTCAGTATACAAAGAAGGAAACTAAAGTACAAAGTAGTGACTTGCCCAAATTCTTACAGCTAGACATGGCTAGGACTGAGACGAAAGTCTCTGGAGTCCAAGTCCAGTGTTCTACACGTAGCCTGTATCTGCAGCGAGTCAGCCTCTCTCTATAGCCAGGGACAGCAAAGCTGCCCTTGCAGCATGGGGTCTGCAGACTCACCTGTTTCACACTGCATAGTACATTCCCCCGTGAGTCCAAAATGGCAGTCTGACACTTCCTGAACAGAAGCTTACCTGGGCCATCAGGGCAGCCATCTCAAGAGCCAGTTCCTTATTGACAGGAAATCTCCCTGCCACTATCTCTCCACTAGTTTGGGAGGCAAGCAGCAGCCGCTCTCGTTCAGTCTCCCCTTTGACTTGACTCCGAAAGTACAGCCTGTAGGGAAGAGAATAAGAAGAGGCCAGGACTCAGCTGGGCTCCCAAACAGGGACAGGGCTTTCCTGGGATCTGTTTATCTACATTTCCAAAAAGGGAAAGTACACTTTGTATCTTTTGGTGCGTGGAATCACAGCTTACGAGGGAATTAGATGAGTTAAAATTCAAATACACTAATGGAAATTATTTGCCTGGAGACATACCTGGGATGGATTTTTTAAAATTGATTAAAAAGTCAGGATATCTACTTCTGTATTTCCTGGAATAAATAGGAGCTATTTATTCTTTAGCTTTAAATATTTGGTACCCATACGTTTTGCCCTTGGGGCAACCCATAAGCTTAGTCTGTTTTCTTGGTGGGTGTGTGCAGTATTACAAAGGTAGGCTGAGAGCCTGAACTGCCCAGAGCCTCACAGAGAATCAGGAGCAGAACTACCTGGGCCCTGATTGATGACCACCAAACAATGTTTTGTCTGTTTGTAGGCCCCTCTACCTGTCTGGGACCAACTGTACAGTTAGGGAGGGGCTGAGCTGGCACCCAGCAGCAGCCCTCATATTTGGCCCCACCCTCAGCCAGTGCTCAGGACCTGTTCTTGTACATCAGCTTCACGATGCGTGTGCCACCCTCAGACTTCCCAGGATGCAGCTCCTTCAGGGCTTGTTCCCACTTGGAGATGGCATCACAGATCTTGAGGAGGCAAAAAAGGAAAGTCAGAGAAGCCTGTGAAGAGGGGAAGCCAGGTCCTGAACTTGGACAGAGCAGAAGAGCAAGCTTGAGTGACTGTCTTCCTGTCAGGAAGCTGACCTATGGGGCCTTCCATTCTCAGGACCTGAGGTGTGTGTGACACCTTCAGGAAGAGACAGAGCCCTGTATATGATGTGAGTCACAAAGGAAGGGACACTGTCCTCACTGGCCTGAGCATAGACCCTCTCAGTCAAAAAATATGGCCTCCTCATATTTGAGGCTCCACGCCCATTCCACTGACTGCCATTCTCTTCTCCAACAAATATACCTAGGCCTACTATGTAACAAAGCCTTACAGAGGATGGGAGCTTTACCAAGAAGACATGTGGCATAGTTATGCCAAGCAGTGGTAAGAGACTATAGAAGCCTCTGTCCCATTACTATAAAGAAAGCAGATACTGACGATGAAATACTCACATTCATTAAGTGCTACAGCACATTCCCATAAACACTTAACATCCTCCATGGCACTAATCCCAGACCACAATACAAGGTATGTCTTTCTTAAATTCCATTCAAGGGCCTTTGTTTACAGAGGTACCATAGGATCTGTGCCCTTCAATTTTGAGTGTACCTATAAGCATAGCACTGGTCTTGCAGACAGGGTATAAGGGCAGTGCTGATACACAACATGACTTCTGGTGGGTCTAGGCAGACAGATGTCCATCTATGAGTGTATGCAGGCTCAACTGGAGCTGCTGCTGAGAAGTGCCTTCCTGTCACTAAGCTGAAAAGAAGCTTTTCTCCTGAATGCTGTACAGCCACTTGAGGAAAACAGGGGTGTGGAGATCTTGTTTCCAGAGACATGGGCATACAACAGCTTTTCTCTGCCCACACAGGTATGTTTTAGGATAGCACAGAAATGCTGACCCTTCCCAATCAAGAATCTGTGTCTTTATGACCTTGGGCTCAGCACCCAACGGGTTGCCGAACAGTCAGGCGCCCACTAGACATGCTTTCTCTCCACCACCAAGGCCCCTAAGCTAGGAGGTGGCTCAGGAGGTGTCAGTCAGCTTAGTGGGGAGACTATTACCTTCTCACTTCCTTGGAGACAGTGTTCCAGGTCCCTGCCAGAAGGATCGTCCGTGAAGAGGGAAAAGCCAGAGTGGGAGGATTTTCTCATGCCTGTCTCCTGGTTCAGCCGCTGGAGGAACTCATCAACTGTGGAGGAGCCATCAAAACCCACCACCTGAACAAAGAAAGGCACCCTGTCTCAGAGTGAACTTCCTGAGATGAGCTTACCGGGGCTATGTGTACAGGAGGTGGGTGAGGTGGGAGCAAGGGGGAATGCAAGAAGACAAGAAAGCTGGTTTCCATATTCACATACAGAGGGAAAGTACTTAAAGACTGTGTGTCTGCCCCCTTGTAAATTGGAATTGGGCATAAACTCTCTTCCTCTGTTACTGTCAAGCTTTTGAATGCCCATGGCCATGCCACTTTCTTGGTCAGTGTCTCAGCTCCTCTGTTCATGCAGTGTGGGTTCAAAAAATCTACTTACAGGGCACCTTTCATCTTATACCAAACCAAAATAAACCCAAACTCACTGCCGTTGAGTAGATTTGACTCATAGCGACCCCTCCTTGGGTTTCCAAGGGTATATCTCTACAGAAGTAGATTGTTCAATCTTCCTTCCAAGGAATGGCTGGTGGGTTTGAAACACCAGCCTTCTGGTTAGCAGTCAAATGCCTTAGGCACTATGCCACAGTAATCCCCATTCCTCAAACCCAAGGCCCATCATTTTGCTGGCTTGCCACTTAAGACTCCACCAAGCCTAAGAAGGCTTAACATCCACCTAGACCAAAGGTATTCTGTGCAGCAGGAAGATGAGGAGACTCAGGGCAGGGACACACCCAGCCTCCTAACCTGGTAAGTCCCATTGGCAAAGTGCACAGGGATGCTGAAGGGCAAGGAGTGGTGGAAGGGATTACGCAGCAAGATGGACACCACCTCCATGCGAGATGGCCTGGCCTCCCGTTCCCCAGTCTGCAGAGTCCGCTCTACTGCCCGCTGGCAATAGGTGGCATACTGGCCAGTTTCATTCCTGAAAGATACAGGAGAAGGAAGAAGGGAATATCAGGGACTCCATTCATCCGTGCCACCTTGGCACCTTCAGTCCCCTATTCAGGCCTAGCTAGGGTCTAATCTGTAGGCTGGGGAAGGCTATGAAAAAAGCCCAGATTCTGCAGGTGTTAATATGTCATTCGGGGCCTGTTTGCTGCAGAATGCTGGTGTGAACATCTTCTTCCAGAAGCCAGAAGAACATGGCAAGAGAGAATAAAAACTTGGAGGCAATATGACTTTATATGGGCTCAAATATATCAAAGATCATTAAGATGGTGCAGGACCAGTTAGTGTTTCATTCTCTTATAAATAAGGTCACCATGAATCAGAGGTGACTCAATGGCAACTAGCAACAACAACAACAAGGCTTCACGGGAGAGCACCTACAAAACATTCATGGATACATGGATTGATGTGCCAAGAAGCTCATGCATGCCCAGATCTCCATGTACTATCCAGCAAATCTCAGAGGCAAGAGGTGATATGAAGCTTTTTCCATTTGGCCTCTAGTCTCCCCAACACTTCTTTATCATGCCACAGTTGGTAGGGTTAGAATGGTGGAAGAAATGATACTCACTCACCTGGGGTCTGCATGGCGTTGGAGTTGCTGTTTGACATACCAGAGGAAGTGATGCTGAGGCAGGAAGAGTGGGGCACATAGAGCCAGGAGCTGCCAGCACTGCCAAGGGAAGCAAGAACCATGGGGTGGAGGCTGGGTCTACAGTATTCCCTGCCTTCACTGTCCTGTGCTGTAGAGCCTTCAGCCCTCTTTCCCCAAACTGAGCTTCCAGCCATCTGTGAGTACTAAGGATGGCTAACTTGGTCAGCCTTTGTCCAGAATAGCAACCACACAACCTGATTGTGCATAGAGATCCAGAGAGGGCACTTGTCCTGAGGTAGCTCTGAGCATCAGTCATCCACTGACTAGCTCAAAATCTGGGAAACAGGCAAGGCTGTAAGGATATATGCCCAGTTACCTCCTCCCACCTACTCTACCTTCTAGGTGGCCCTTGCTAATGGCTGTCAGCTGCTCTACCCCTGGAGATAACTACCTGCATGAGGGAGTACTTCTGAGGCGGGCGACAGCTAGTCTGCTTCATGAGTTGACAGTAGATCTCACTCTGCAGCTCGGGGTGAACCAGGCACACCTGCAGTGCCGTCTGGGCCAGGGACACATGGTAGTCCACTGAGGCGGCTTCTACAGGCACGTTGATGAAGAGCTGGCAGGACTGAGAAGAAAGGATGGTGGGCACAGGAAGATGGAAGGCGCCTTGATCACAGCCCTCTTTATGACAGTGGAATGGTATCTGACTCCAAGGGGAGAAGTGAACAGGCTGGGCCATTCTGCCAGGGATTCCAGGAGGCTCAAGTTCCCTGACAGCTCCTTTTAGAGAGGGAGCATTGTCACTACTTGTGAGAAGCTATGCTTGCTGAAAGGGGCTACTTTGGGATAAAAACTTCTGTAAGATATTTACATTACATAAGACATGTTCATTTAAAAAAGAAGAAAATTCCAACAGGCACAAAGAATATTCTAAAATAGGTTGCTAAGCTCTCACAGCCACAAACTATGTAAATCTGGCCTTTTCTGCTGTTAACTGCAGGAGGAGGGGAGCTCCTCCAGGGAGAGTTTTCATTGCAGCTTTCCAAGGACTAGTGAATAATATCCCAGAGCTTCTTTCATACCAGTAGCTCTCTTCCTAGAGTGAGGATTACATTCCTGCCACAAAGAAAGCAGTGGACACCCTGTGGGACTTTCTTTCCCCTCCTCACAGATCCCTCTGTGGGCTACCCTATAATTGCATGGATCTCTTTCACTGAGTATTAACACTGCAGCACAAGCAGCATCAGGCAGCACCTGGGCACATGGTATGGGCGTAACCAGCCAACGGGCCAGGGCTCTGCTCCCACATTACCTTAAAGAGCTTGAGGGCCTCCGTCTGCAGGGCCTCTGAGGGCAAGGTGGTGAGGGAGGTATACAGCCCATCCTTACTGTAGCACAGCATGGGGTGCCTCCACAGGGGGGAATCTGTCCAAAGCGGGGCACCAGAGAGCTGCAGCAGTTACCGCTGATGAGAGAACCCACCTCCCACCCCCATTCCCACTTTAATCTGTGGGGAAGGCAATGGTTTAACAGACAATTGTGTGGGGTTTATCATACCTAATGTGTGCTATGCAGTTGTGGACTACAGTTAACACACAAGCATGACTACACAGAAAGGTGGCTACCACTTTACTCATGGAGCTACGACAGGAGTATGTGTGCAAGGCTGTGGGCATCTGAGTGCAAAAGTGTGTGCGCAGGGCAGGCCTCATCCCTGCAGTTATCAGATCTGGCTGGCGAAGTATAGGTATCAGCCTCAGATAAGCTTCAGAGCAGTCAAAAAGGAGCATGTTTTGCCTTTAGTTAGTTCCTTAAGGCCAGTAGCAAAATAAAGCAAAATGAAGACTCCAAAACACCCTAGGGTTAGGTGAACCTGATCCCAGTTTAGGCTTCATCTGTTGATTAACAAACTCTAACTATAGATTAACCCTCTGCCCAGCCAACAAAGCTGTAGGTTGAACAGGGTAAAACATTTACCCAAGTCACTGGAAATTCTGCTTCCCAAATAACCGCCCCCATATACAAACAATGGTCACTTCAGTATCTTGACCAAAAACATAAGGGCCCTGGAGGGTGGGATGGGAACTCCCCTCTGAAGTTTCCACACTTTAAAAACAGCTTCAAAAGAGCCCTGGTGGTAAAATGGTTAAACACCCTGCTGCTAACCAGAAGTTTGGCAGTGTGAATCTCTGCAACAGAAAAGACCTGGAGAATGCTCCCATGAAGGTTATGGCTTGGGAGACTCTATGAGGCAGCTGTACTCTGTCCTGTGGGGTCACTATGAGCTGGAATCAACTTGACGGAACACAACAACAACTTTCTGTGTTAACTGAAAACCTGTTTTCAGCCCATGTTTAAAGAACTGATACTATTGGATGGAAACAAACAAAACCAGCTTCAGGGTACAGTAGTGCTTTCTTTGGATTCTTAACCAACAATCACTCAGCCACTACCCTCCAACCCAAGCAGTGATGGCCGTCTTTGCCTTACCTGGATCTCCCTCACCATCCATCAGTTTTCCGATGAGCTGCTCATAGGCAGTGCCCACCTTGGCACTGCTACCACCTGCAGCCACTGTGAGGTGGTAAAGCCACGTGTCCTAGAAGGGGATGGAAAACCATCTGATGGGGAAGGGATGGGAGGAGTACAAGCAATTACTCCAAAAACAGTTCCTGGAAGGTGCCAAGGTCATGGTGAGGTTTAGTGGTTCAGGTGGCACAAGTCAAGACCACTAGTTTCTAAGAAGAAAGACTTGGGATCAGGTGAACATGAACCCAAACTTCCAACCTTGTGGTCCTATGTTGATCATTGGGAGTGAATTCAATATATAGCAATGTGGTAGTTAAGGTTGTGTGTCAACTTGGGTAGGCCTGGTTTTGAGTGGTTGGGCAGGCAGCTGGATGTAGTTATTCCCCTGGTAATTATTAACTCCATGATGGATTCTACTGGGGCAGCTGAGTAGCTGCTTGAGGGATGTTGTCTGCTCCCTGTATATAAAAAGCAACTTTGAGGAAAGTCTCCAGCTTTTGGCATACTTGAACCCTGCATGTAGCTGAGTCGTTGTTCAGCAGCCTGCCATGTTGTCTCCTGATCTTGGGACTCTTGATGCACTTGAATCAGTGGCCTGCCGTGTGGTTTGGTAATACCAGGACTGTACCGTTTTACTTGTCAACTTTGGGTTTGTCAGCCTCAGCAGCCAGCAGCTGCCTGAGTTAAGAAAAGCCTGCAGCTTCAGTGGGTTGGGAGCAAGAGGTAGAGCTGAAGCCCAAGACTGAGGGGCTTTCTCCCAGCCCTTAGAGCCTGGCACTTTGAACTTGGACTTCTAGCCTCCAAAACTGTAAGAGAAAAACTCCTGTTTGTATAAGCGATCCACTTGTGGTATTTCTGTTAAAGCAGCACTGGAAGTAACCAAAATGGAATATTCCCTTTCAGAGAATATTTGTTGATAAAGTATCCAAGAGGGAAAGACACCTGAATTTTAGGAAGCTCAGGTATAAAAGAGAAGAGAAATTGATATCAAAGGTCCAAGCTTTGCCGTGGAGGCCCAGCCCCTCTTACCTTTTCATGCTTGGTGCCAATGAGGAGATAGGTGGGGCTGTGCTCTGGGGGGTGGATCACCAATGTGCAATGGGAGGAAAGCAACCGCCCAGTCCCTCCGGCCTCATAGTCCTCATCAGAGTCACAGGATCGATCTACTTCCTCTATCCGCGCATCCCGCATGGGCAGATGGCCTAGGGGTCGCTGTGGACAGGAGTCTTTCATAAATGGGGGAGTTGTGGGAGCTGAAGGAAATTCCTCTCTCTAAATAAATCCTTAGGCTCTGTAGGGCTGGGAATCCTGGAAGTGGACAGGATGACAGGATAGGGAGAGGGAGACTGTGGCATCCCAGCCATGCTGGGAGCAGCATCAGGTTGTTTGGGCAGCACAGATGGACTGTACAAACAGAATTCACTGGTTGTGCACTCAGGTGGGATCCAGCCAGCTAGCTTCTGTACTTGTTAGATGGAGGACAACATAAAGCTGAGGACTGCCATCAGGACATGGAACCATAGTAATGTGGTCTAGAGGAAGTGGAAGAGTAGGTGCTGTTGGAAGGTCTCACCCAAACCCTAATAAGTACCTTGTCCTCATGGCTCCGGTAGTAATAGAAGGTTTTTCCAGTGAGAGCACACCAGACCAGCTTGGAGTGGCCATGCTTTACCTGTATGACCAAGATGAACTAGCATTATTAAAACTAGGTTAACTCTGGGAATAAATACAGGGCTGGCAAAAGGAAGCCACAGGGAGACAGATTTCAAAACTTAGAGTCAAACTCAGTTCCTTAGTGGAAAGACCACTCAGACTCCCCACTAATAGGAACCACCTCTTTCACAGCCAGGGTGCGGTGGTGCACACCATGTGACACTCGCCCATCCTTAAGCTGCTGCTGCTCAGTGACCTATAATCTGCCATTAAAAGATCCATCAGGCCAATCAGATTTCCTCTCCCAGGAATATGATCTATAAAACATAGATCATATGAGTTGTTAAGAAGCCATGAAGGAGGTAAGGAGGCCATAACAAGCTTGAAGCCCTTGGGCAAACAAATTATGAGGGAACAGAAACTGCTCATGGAGAGACAAGAATGATGTACACACACACTGAATGGAAGAGCAGAGCCAGAGAGAGCCTGTGAGCACTGCTCCTGCTTTTAAAGCTGTTTTGGTTCCTGATGGCTTTTGGGTGTACTTAATATTCTTGTTAACTTCCCTTCTCTGGGGTAACAAGTGCTTTGCTGCTTCTTGCAACCAGAAGACTCCTAACTAAAATGTCTTTAGAGCAGGCCTCTTTGCCCTGGATATATAATGAGATCCTGTGAGTCTTTAAATGGCCATACCTACCCCCGCCTAGGTCTTTGCTTCCCACTATTAATACTGAAAAGAGCCCTTGAGTGCTTGACTGTGAAATGAGAGGTGGGTGGTTCTAACCTACCAGTTGCTCCTCAGGAGAAAGATGTGTCACTCTTGCTTCTGTAGAGATCACAACCTTGGAAACCCTATGGGGCAGTTCTACTCTGTCCTATAGGGTCACTATGAGTTGGAACTGACTCAGCAGCAAAGGGTTTTTTTTTTTTTTTGGTATTAATTATAAGGCTTGGTGGGAGAACAAGGCAGGTGTGGGTACAACCCTTAATAACCTCAAAATGGGTACCAAGACATTCCTTTCCCAACCCTTTCTTGAGCACAGCTATTGTTCTAATAGCCCTGATCCCTGTTTCTAAGAAATCATTCAGCATCAGACCGTGTTTGAGGACCAACTGCTAGTCACTATGAGGAAGTTCCTGGAGAAAGGACCTATATATGAGTAGGGAACCCACCACCCCTTGGCACTCCCACTCGTGGTTCCCATAACCCTCAGGAGGCTCATTCCTCCCCATCAGCTATACCTTTACCTTGGTCAGCCAACCTTTCACAGTGGGCTTGGTGCCACCTTGAGGTAGGGCTGGAGGCCCAATGGCCTGGACTTTAAGCAGGCTCTGCAGTACTCGGATCCACTCCTCCAGCAGGCTGGGTGAATCAGCCGTCAGGTAGTAGGTTTTCTTCTCAGAAATGAGCTGTGGCAGAGTGAGGGATTCAGGTCAGGGGCAAGGAGGAGAATGGAATAACAGAGACCCAGCTCATATCTCTGAACCCACTGGGCCTTCCTACCCAGTTACTGCCTCCCTTCTTTTCCTCCCTTCACTCCATGTCTCACATTCCACCTCCTCTTCTTCCTTTCTAATACCCACAAATTAGGATCACAGCCAAATGTTGATACAATGTCTTTCACCCATGCTTATGTTGCCCCAGCTTTGTCTCCACCATAGCCATATCTGAACCAGCACCCCTATTGTCTAAAATATAAACTGGTAGGAGCATGTTCACCTGGAATGTCTGTGCACCCTCCCCTCGAACAATTTGGCAACGCGAGTTCAGTTCCACTTGACCTTGAGGTTTCCGGATGACATCACTCTAAAGAAAGGAGTGGGAAGGAGAGAGGTTACAGTGTGGAGACTTCCCAGAGCGGCATCATTCACCCTCATATGTTTCCTGGGTTAGGTATGATGGGTAACTTGTTCTAGATCCTGCTCCTAACTAAATGGAGCAATGATTAGGGCTTTGGGTCGTTTTGACCGAGGCTTCAAGAAGAACAGATTGAGGACTGATGACTGAGCTGTAAAGTTCCTTAACTGCATCCCTTATACCAAGAATGGCAAATAAGTGGCATATATGTCACCATTACCCTTTCCAGTGTCTACTGCAGACATATAGCATGCTTTCACACTGAGTAATACAGCCCCAAAATCCTTAACATGGTTCTCCAGGAGCCATTACCAATCAACTGGAGTCACATAACAGATGATGCCTTTTTGCCTTCTTTAAAACATTGATTGTCAGGGAAGTCCAGTCATACTAATTCTCAATATTCAAGGCTCCCTAATTCCAAACCACTGCATTTTGGGAGGAAATAGGTGGAGGAGGCAGTGGGCTTGACTGTTAGAACAATCAAGATGACATGAGAGCAGCCTGGGAACTGCTCCTTCACAGGACCAGACATAAGAAGAAACCAGCTTCTGAAGGAAGAAATCGCCAAGCCTAGTGGCCTGGGAACTGTCTTTGACCAAAGCTGTGTCTGGGCTGAGCTGTGTTAATTTCCCCAGTGCCTTATTCATTGAGAAAACCAGTGACCAACCCCTGGCTGATGATCCATGTATGGCTTGAAACCTCCAAGGTGTACAACCAGGCTGCCTCTCCCCACCTGCCAGACCTTTGCCCTTCTGTTCTTAGGCTACCTGCCCCTCCTCTGGCCCCTCTCTCACAGTTGTGGGTCCAGGGTGGAGTTATTTTTAAATTTTATTTATTTTTTTTTAAAAATTTATTTTTGCAGTGTTTTGGGGTGCAGTTCTTTTAAGTACAGTCTTAGGGGAGGAGGTCTTACCGGAGACTTGTAGTACATAATCTGCCCCTGTCTCAGGACAAACCAGCGCCTCTTCCACGTCTTCACCCGGCTCCCCATTTTTAGCAGGTAGCCTGACTTCTCTAGTGACTCCTGCAGGGGGTGGATGGATGAAGGGGAGAAGGATGAATAGAAAGGTGAAATTCCTTGGGACTCCTGGATGTTACACAGGCCAAAATGGTCCAGTTGAATCCCTGTTTCATCATCAATTAAAACAAGTATTGAGCACCTACTATATGTATTTTCAGGACACCATGCCCTGGTGAGGGCTCAGAAAACTAAAGCATGGGTGCTCCTGCCATGGAAAGGCTCCCATGCTGACTGAGGAAGACAATGCCTCACTATGAAAAGATGGCAAATTAGGGACTTTAAGAGGGAGAGGAAGGCCAGGGAGGGCTTCAGGAAAGGGCCAGACCTGAACTAGCCTCTGAAGGAAGGTCAGTTTCAGACAAGCCAAAAGGTAGAGAAGGGCAATCCAGGCAGCACCAAAGGGAAAGAGGGCAAGGCAGGCTTGGGGAGGTGGAGACAGGGTGGCAAATGGTGTAGAGCAAGGGCTTGGGAACTAGATCGATCTGGCATATAGTAGCCTGTCTCTGAGGCTCCAAGACTCACCTTCATCTGTAAAATGCGGTAGTATTCCTTAGCAGATTGATGAGGACAAATGAGACAGTGCCTGACACATTGTAAGACCTCAATAAATGTGAACTTTCATTAGCATACTGAGGTCGATGGGAGGATAAAGAGCATGTAAATGCCTCATGTGTCCTAGTAGGCTCCATCTCCTTCCTTCCTTCCAGGGTCTGTGTTTGCCTGACTCCACAACTGTACAAACCCAGCCTATTCCTAATGGCCTCACATTAGTGGCAGCCCTGTGGTCCCCTCCCTTCCTCTCCCCTTCACTGACTTCAGGGCCCCAAGACTGTGGGTCTCACACAGCAGCTGCCTGTGGCTAGTGCTGAAGATAGAAAGTCCTCTCTCCCTATGGCCCTGGGTCTGCCCCCATCTGCTTCCCAACCCCCACACTCTTTGCTCACCCCGCCTAGGCCCAGCCCATCGGTGGAGTAGGATGAGGTGCGCTGTAGTTTGTGCTCAGGCTCTGAGTAGTCACTGTCCAGCGAGCAGGCATCCGGGGGGATGGCATAGTCGCCTTCAGAGCTCAGTGAGGACATAGAGACGCCTGGTCATGAGAGGAAGAGTCAAGGCCCTGGGTCCCACACCTCCCCAGCTGGTACAGTCCAAGAGCTATAAAGCCTTCCTCACCCACCCTGGGACTCCCGAGTATAGGGCTGAGGATGGAGCCCTGGGGGGGGGCAGTGGGCACAGAGCAATCAGGGACCCCAGTGTACAACTGTCCATATAGGAGATGAGGTGCCCCATTGCCTCTCACCCCTCCCTTCTTGTACCTCTTTTGATGGCCCGGGGACTGCCCAGTCCACTGGTCTTCCTGGACTCAGAGCAGGAGACGGAAGTTTGGAAACTCGCCTGAGAGCTACAGTCATCATCGGACCCAGAGGACTCATCCACAAAGGGCATGTTGCTGATCTGCGTGGCTCTCTGCAAAACAGACCCCTTCCCCACTGCAGCTGAGCTGCAAAACAAGTCCCACCCAACCTGTGGCTGTGCTCCAGCTCAGGTTCCTAGGGTATGGCCATCCCAGGCTGTCTGGGGCAAAATCGATGCCCTGACCCAGATGGGCACAGAAACTGCTCCAAAGGGCTCTGGAAGCCCTATCTGCTTGACTCCTGTGTCCTTATCTCCATGCTTCAATTTTGGGCCTTTCTGCCCCACCCACTATCTTCTGCAGTTCCCAAAGGAGCTGACCCATCCAGGCTGTTGTGGCTCTTGGCCCCTGCCGCTAGGGGGCAAGAGTGTCATACCATAGGCCAACTGTGGGGCAGGAGCTTTAAAATGTGTGTGGACATTGAGACAAAGAAAACATTTTCATCAGGAGACTGAGGATCCTCAATGTTGTTGAGTATGAAGAAAAGGTATTCCATAATGTGATAAAACCTTTTTAGAAGATAATTTGGCAGTACCTACCAAAATTTTAAAAATGGAGAGTGCAAATGGTTACACAAGTTGAAGAAGGTAATCAGTTTCACTTAATTGTAGATATTGAAATGGTATGTGTTCTGCTGCGTATATTCTCAACAACAAATTAAATATTTAAAAAATGCATATAATTTGTCCAGAAATTCTACTTATAACTATCCCTTATAGAAATATGTATATGTAAGTACAGGCATACCTCATTTTATTGCACTTCATTTTATTGTGCTTCACAGATAACTGTGTTTTCTACAAATGAAAGTTTGGTAGCAGCCCTGTACCAAGGAAGTCTGTTGGAGCCATTTTTCCCACAGCATGGGCTTACTTCACGTGTCTGTTACATTTTGGTAAATCTCAGTCTTTCAAATTTTTTTCACAATGTTATCGTACACTTAACAGACTACAGTATAGTGTAAGCATAACTTATATGCACTGGGAAACAAAAAAATTCGTATGACTCGCTTTATTGTGATACTTTATTGTGGCGGTCTAGAACTGAATGTGCAATCTCTCTGAAGTATGCCTGTGTATGTTTATGTATTATGTTTAATATTAACATCAGTATTATAAACACACAATATAATAAAAAGATATATTTGCATATGATATTCATTACATTTATTTTAGAGAACAACAGGGACATGAGCTGAATGTCAATCAGTGGAGCATAGGCTGAGGCCATTATGGTGCATCTGTACCAAGACACAGTGGACAGCAACATGAAGAGGTACAGAAAGATAACCTGACATGGTTGAATGAATGAACAAGTATATGTATAATATGATCCCTTTTGTGTAGTATGTCCACGCATAAGAGAGAAACAGAGAGACAGAGAGAGACAGGGAGAGGGAGAGAGAAAGAGAAGCAATCTGTATTTGTAAATGTATCAGGTTTACAGAATAAATACCAAACCACTAATGATAGTTACCTCTGGAAACAAGAACTGGGGAAAAGCAAAAGGAAATTGCCCTTTTGGCTCTTTTATTCTTTTATGAAAAGTTTTACCCAAGGATTACAGTTATAATTTCAAAATCTAGTAACAAAAAGAGAAAAAATGT